CCTGGAACTCACTATGTAGACCAGGCTGGCCTTGAACTCACAGAGATCCGCCTGCCTCTGCCTCCCGAGTGCTGGGACTACAGGTGTGCACCACCACACCTGGCTCTTTTTTGGTCTTTTTGAGACAGGGTTTCCCTGTAGCCCCAGTTGGCTTGGAACTATGCAGACCAGGTTGGTCTCGAACTCACAGAGATCCATCTGCCTCTGTCTCTCAAGTGCTGGAATTAAAGGCATGGACCACCACACCTGACTCACCTAGGAACTTTTTTACCTAATCTTTCTTATCTGTCCTTTTATCTAGAAAATGGAAATAAAAATAGCACCTAGGGGGCTGGAGAGATGGCTCAGGGTTAAGAGCACTGGCTGTTCTTGCAGAGGACCCAGGTTCAGCTCCCAGCACCCACTGCCTGTTACTCTAGCTCCAGGGATCCTGTGCTTTTTTCTGCGCCCCCGCCCCCATCACAGCACACAAGTAAAACACTCATATAAAGCATTTTTTTAAAAATGCAGACGTTGTGGGGCAGGAGAGATGGCTCAGTGGTTAAGCTGCTCTTGCAGAGGACCAGGGTTTGATTCCCAGCACCCACATGGCAGCTAACAACTGTCCATAACTCCAGTTCCAGAGGATCCAACACCCTCTTATGACCTCCTCCAGCACTGCACAATACAGGTGCACTTACACACATACAGGCAATACACCCATACACATAAAATAAAAATATTAAATAAATTAACTTTTTTTTTTTAATGCAGACGTTGGGGCTGGAGAGATGGCTCAGCGATTAAGAGCACTGGCTGTTCTTGCAGAGGACCTGAGTTCAAATCCCAGCACCCACATGGGGGCTAATAATGTCCGTAACTCCACTTCCAAGGGGCTCTGACACCTCCTCCTGGCCTCCGAGGGCACTGCACAACAAAGGTGCACTTACATACACACAAGCGATACCCTTATACACATAAAATAAAAATAATAAAGAAAATGCAGACGTTGACAGTTCCTACCCCGTTGGTTCTAGGTACGAAGGCATTTAAGCACCTTGAACAGTTGCTTAGCAGAGAATACAATGTCTGCCAATTATATCACTTTTTTTTTTTTTTTTGATCTTTTTGAGACAGGGTCTCCTTGTAGCCCCAGCTGTCCTGGAACTCACTATGTAGACCAGGCTGGCCTTGAACTCACAGAGATCCGCCTGCCTCTGCCTCCCAAGTGCTGGGATTAAAGGCGTGCGCCACCACACCCGGCTATACCACTTTTAAAAGCACTTACAAGTAGGGCAAAAGCTGGCCCTGGAACTCGCTATGTAGACCAGGCTGGCCACTTTTGAATGCACTTAGAGGTGGGGTAAAAGTTCTTGCGAGAAGCCTGTGCCTCAGTTTTCCACTATGAGCAACGAGGACGAGACTCATATTTGGGGACAGGATGGAAAAGGAGCTCCACAGCCTCCCAGACCACCCCGTAGACTCCATGCCCCTCCACCCCCCAGAGGAACAAATCCTGCCCAAGCCAGGAAAAAGTGAAAGCAAAGCCCCGCCCACCAGTCGCTCTAGAGCCCGCCCAAACGCTCCGTTGCCAAGGAAACCCCTCCCCTGCCAGATGGGTCTCAGCTCCTTACTCGTGAGACGCCTTCCTCGCCGCCCAGGGTCTGCAGCATCTTGGCCTCGTTCCGCACCACGCCCGGGTACTCCACGCACACCAGGCGCCGCTCCCGCCGCAGGTCCACAGGGATGGCGGCCATCGGCTCCGGGTCCACCGCCTCCGCCGCCATGCCTACAAGTCCGGCTGGGCTCGTCGCGGTCCGTCCTGGAAAAGGCTCCGAGAGGCCTCGCCTCAGTGGTTCCGCGAAGGAGTCGTTCCGGCTCTCCACACTATTCACAGCTCCTACATCAGTGAAACTGGAGGGCTCCCGGAACAAACGCACCTCGGCGTTTGTTGACTTAGAGGCACAAGGTCCTAGAGCTTTTAGGTTTAAAACGAAGAGGGTTGGGCGGATGGGCGGGGCGATAGCACCTCCTGCCGCCAGCCCGAGGTCCAGCCAATGAGGAATCGGAGGAATTCTCTTGGCCGGGTCCTTCCGGAGACCTTACCCAATGAGAGGTTGGGGGCGGGCCCACGACGCTTTCTGTCTGAGTCCTTCCGGTGATTTTTGTCCAGTGAGAGCTAGGAGGTGGGCCCGAGGGCCTCTGACCGGCTTCTTCCGGAGATTTCGTCCAATAAGAATCTGGGGACGGGCCCGTTCTGACCGGATTCTTCCGGAGATGTCGTCCAATGAGGTATTGGGACGGGTCCGATGCGCCATCTGCTCGGTCTCCCTATGTAGGGGGATGGCCCAGCAGCGAGTCGACTTCCTGGCGTCCGCCAGGCCATTTCCGCTGAGTTGGAATTCCTGTCGGAGGACGGGATTTCCAAGCACGTTTTGTGGGTGGGATTGGCGGGCGCGAGTGCTGTGCCCCGAGTACTCCCCTCGCTCCCCGCACTGGAAGCCCTGAGCTCGGGGCAGGCTGCCGGCGTCCTCGGTCATCTGTTAAGCAGGTGCCCGTGGTCTGGAGGATAGACCAGCAAGGTGGAAGTGAATTCAGATGACCCACCGGGAGGGGTGTCATCCACGCGAAGTGGCTGTGGGAAGGCCAAGGGACCCCTTGTGCGTGGGTACCCCGAGTGTCTGAAGTGGTTCCTCAGTTAAGAGATAACTCATTGCAGATGGAATTGAGAAGGCAGACTAAGTAGCTGCAGTTTACACAGTTCAGTACACTTAAATTTTAAAAGTATTTTGTATGCGTGTATTGCCTGCATGTCTGTAAGTGCACCCGTGTCGTGCAGTGTCCGAGGAGGACAGAAGAGGCTGTCGGAGCCCCTGGGACCGGAGTTAGGGACAGTTGTTAGCTGTCATGTGGGTGCTGGGAACCGAACTTATGTTGGTTTGTGTGTGTGTTGATACCTTTTTTTTTTTTTTTTTGAGACAGGCTCTCCTTGTAATCTCCCAGCTGGCCTGGAACTCACTATGTAGACCAGGCTGGCCTTGAACTCAGAAATCCACCTGCCTCTCTCCTGAGTGCTGGGAGTAAAGGTGTGCACCACTCTGCCCAGCTTCATAAATGAAGATGCTTCTAAAATAGGTTGGTGCACACGCTAGGTAGGTGGGTTCATGCAATACTAGGAAAGCTCTGCTTTGGGCCTGGGATGCTTTCTGATGACATTTTTAGCTTTTGGTTGGTTGGAAACTAGTTCTGCTTATACATTCCAAAGGTTACCTAATGGTCACAAAGATGTTAGGCTAGGAGGTCGGGCACGGTGGTGCACACCTTTAATCCCAGCTCTAGAGTGCTAGAGGCAGGCGGATCTCTGTGAGTTCACAGGAAAGAGAAGGGCAGTTAATGCTTTAAAAGGGCTAAAGCTGCCCCTAAGATAATTTGCCTCTGGACGTGCAACATTCCAAACTCTTCACAATCACTGAAGTTCTGTGTGTGTGTGTGTGCTCCACGGGAGTGTGCCTGTGCTTGCACCTGCAAAGACCAGAAGAGGGCCTTGAATCCCCTGGAGCTGGAGTTGCAGATAGTTGTGAGCTGCCCATGTGGGTGCTGGGAACGGAACTCCAGTCCTCTGAAAGAGCAGCAAAGACTCAACCACTCAACCGTCTCCCTAGCCCCAGCCTTTTTTATTTATTTATTTTTAAATATTTTATTTTATGTGTATGAGTGTATGCCTGCATGTAGGTAAGTGCACCCATGTCGTGCAGTGCCTGCAGAGGACTGAAGAGGCTGTCGAATCCCCTGGAACTGGAATTATGGACAGTTGTAGGGGAACCCTGCTGTTAAGTTGGTCTCCTTTCTCAGCAGGGGCTT